AAAAAAAAAAAAAAAAAAAAACGATGATGGAGGAAATAGAATGAGATGTCGGAGAGTTTTATTTGGTTTGGTATAGAGTTTTAAGAGGAAGTCTCAACAATTGGGTTAGATCTTGATAAAGACTAAACGAGTCTCTTTATAATCGTTGTTTTCCCCTGCTTTACCTTCACCCGGGTTACACCCCAATTTGCGGGGAAGAAAAACTCCAATTTTCCCCCCCTTCTTTACCTTTCTTTCCCCCCCATTACCCAACACAATTTTGTTCCCAAACAAGGATAAATGCTACCTTAACTTTTCCTACCCTTCATTACCCTCTATCCAAACAAGGTCTTATAGTAAGAGGTATCAATGTTTGACCATTTATGAGTTATTATTAGAAACTTTGACCTTGGTTTATATTTTCAAATTTTTGTTAGCTAAATGGGCTTAAAAGATTATGTTCATTACTCTACATTTATAGGTAAGGTTAAGAGGGCGTGAGTCTCTACATAAAGCAGTAAATTGAGATTTTCAAAGAAAAAATAAAAAGGAATTTACTCATTAATTAAATTACGATAAAACTCTAATTATTGTATTAAGAAAATGTCAATAGGCTTGCATATTGAACTTAATGTTAAATTATTGATATTGCTAAATTTATAGTTCAAAAATTTGTATGTAAAACTATTACATACAAGCATCAAAATTGGAATTTTGATTTATCATAAAACTGATCCATATAATAGGAAAAGTTAAGTGGATACTTAATATCATATGAGGTCATCATGTTTGTTTTCTGTTCAAAGTGGTTTTACTTTTTGAGGCATTCATGAATTTAAAGAAATGGTGGCAAGTTACTTTTGGAATTACAAGTGTGCTACATAAGATCAAAAAATAGGATAAAAAGTTAAAATCTTTTTTAGAATTACCACTAACCTATATGCCTTACTCATTTTTTCATTCCTACTTGCGCTTTACTTTTCTCTGTTCGGTTTTTTCACTGCTTTTCTTGCTTTTACTTTTTCTTGCCCTCTAATGTCTTTAGTACCAAGTACCAACCAACTGTCAAGAGAATAAGATAATTTGGTGGATTTGAAATTCTGTATTTATGAATGGACTTTTGTATATTGTTTGATGTAGACATAACTTGATATATTTTTGGTTAATGAACTTCTATCTGATGCCAGAATAAGCTGTAGGGCAAAATCATTCCAAATTTGCAAGTGTAAGGATGTCTTACAAATTATTATCAGTTCTTGAAAATGGTATTGCGGAAAATAATGCTTGTGCTTACCATCTATTTGTTAATACCTTTTAAAGTCATACACATCTTTGTGGCATATAAAACTTTAAGGGCACTTCATGCACGCTGTTATGGTTCTAGAGACTATTAGAGAAATCTAGTTTGTCTGATGTGCTGGTTAGTGCCATTTTGCTTTAATGTGTATAATTAGAAGGAACATATGATCCTCTCGGATTCTTCTACCTGTTTGTGTTTACATTATTCTAATCTTACGAAATCAAGTTTTCTTGTATCTGTTTGGTCTATTTATCACAATGCATGAATGTAATAACTTTATTTACTATTACATAAAATAAAAGACGAAATAATTAAATATTCCTTTGAACTGAAACATGAAGATTTAACATATTTGCCTTTTCACAATGTTTATTCATTTTAAAATGACAGGTCGAGTACTACTTTAGTGATGCAAATTTGGCAACCACCGAACACTTGATGAGGTTCATCACCAAAGATCCTGATGGATTTGGTAATATATCATCCATTTAATATTTGCTACTATAGGTTGTTTGATATCTATTTTGTTCCTTCTCGTTTATGGGAAAGTTTAGTTTTTGTTTTCTTAAGTTTAAACTAGGCTTTCAATTGGTTGGCTTTTGTGGCATATTATCATTTTTCCTTTATCTTTTTGGGTCTATAACAGTACATATTCTTCCTTTTGGACTTCAAACGATTAACCCAAAGTAATGTAATTCGACAATAGGCCTACAATTGGCACTTAGTGTTGACATAGATAATCTTGGTGAGACCTCAAAGATAGGAAAAATTAAAGCATTAGAGTTAATTAAATTATCAAACAAGAGTTCAATGGTGAATGTGGTTTAAAGACAACTTTTTGTGGGGGTAGATAACACTTTAGTCAGTTGCAATCAATGACGGATTTACATAGGGGCACTGGGGTTACTTGCCCCGACACAAGTTGAATTTTTTTTAGAGAATATTAGTTAAACTTATTAGTGTCCCATAAGATTTAATGGACGCCCGCTCCAAAGGCACAAATAGGCCCATGCTTATCCCATCTACTAAAAACTCTCATAACTCATTGTCTTTTCCTTTATATCTTGATAGGTTAGTGACAAAAAAGAGGGGTTTTTTAAAAAGATATTAGCCCCTTCAAATCACTGAAATTGTTTAAAGATCCTCCATTTCATAGGTAATTTTGAAATTAGCTACTTAAATCATTGAAATTGCTGTTGTCCCCTAATTCTAGTTAATTTGAAATTTGTCCCTCAAATCAAGTGCAGAAGTAGCAATTACATGGAAATTGCTCCCTTAAATCAAGTGGAAGTAGGTTCCCAAATTCCTATAAATTGTTTTAAATTAATCTATCTGTTTGCTAATTTTATTCTTGATTGGAGGGACTAATTTGAAAAAAAAGAACTTAAGAATTAAGGGTATTAGCAATCTTAATGATTTTATGGACGAATTTTAAAATAACTTAAGATCTGAGGGATAACAATTTCAATAGTTTGAGGGATTAATTTCAAAATATGAAATCTTTAAGGGACTAGTGTTCGAAAAAACCCAACAAAAAAGCCCCTAAAATTCTCCCCCTACAATATGCATAGTTAATATATGTCCCCAGAGTAAAAATTTTATGGATTCGTCCCTGGTTGTAATGAATTGTGAAGTAAATTCTGGGTGGACTTGAGTTAAACATGAACTTGTGGTTCATATGCCCGAAGCATCACACGACACGAACATAAACACAAAATGCAGACTTTACAATTATACAAAAACCAGTCAAGAGGCACAAACATGCACACATTGATAGTTTGATACCGCCCATATTCCCACATCCATTCGCACACACACCTTCACGCACACTCACATGTAGACTCGCACATACCCGTGCCCACATGCACATTTATTTATGTATGTTTTTGATTGATATTTATATATGCTCGTAATGAAGATTTTGGTTGTTATTTCTATATTATCGAATGTAATTTAGTAAGATCAACTATAGAGCAATAATCTTTTCTGAATATGAGGCAGCACATGCTTCATCTTTTGCATATTTTTAAGATCGATAGTAGCTTGAAATTTTGTAACTTTCAGAAGCGCATGTCATGTCAAACTATGTGGGATGCACCATATTCTAATTAGTGGTGTCCTGCATATCATAGCCTCCATCTCATGCTCATAGATTATGCTTAATCCTCAAATATATATAATCTTCTATATATTTTATATTCTAGTGAAATTAGAATTTTATATCAGTAGTCATTTGTATGCCCTTATGAAATAAACATAGATCATTTTAGCTTGTATTTGTAATATCAGTGAATTGTCCATTACTAATCAATTTATCTTCTAAGACTTAACTCTGAGAAAATCTATTCTTCAAACATACATTTCTATTATTTAGCGACAATAGCAGCAGAAACTGAAACTCAAAGATATGGAAACAACTGAAACAACAAGTATCATAAAGGAAAAATACCAAAACCGAATCAAAGTTCTCATATCTTGATATCAACCTATCATTTTCTTGCTCATGTATTCAATGTCTCTCGGGTACCTACTTCATTGTCAATATTAACGTGTGGAGCAACTCTTCCTATCTTTTTCTTCTAATTTGATTATTTTTTCTTTCAGTGATTCTTGCTTATTTCACAGATTTTTTTTTTTGTGATCTGTTTAGCAGGTCGTGGTGTAGCAGTAAAGTTGTAAGTTTCCTTTTCTTTGGGTTGTGTTTGTTAGGGGTAGGTGAGGGTGATGGAGTACGTATGAGAAGTTAGTTAGAGGATGGGAATTGTGATGTATTTGACAATTTCTTTGCAGCAGACTTTCATCTGTATATCAGCATAGATTGACATGGAAATTTGAAGGATGGATGATTATCTTGTGATGTGATTGTAACATAGTTACATAGTACGCAATATGTAGCAGGTCATGGTACGAATTCAAACATGCAATTTGTCACTTAGAAAATTTAGATTCAATGAGGGGTAGCTTGCTTCAGTATGCAAGTTTGGTTAGTGGTATGTTGTAAAATTTTTTAGGGTGCACTTAAAGTTTTCCAAAATATATAGTAGAAAATTAGAAACTAGAAAACTAATCATGCATTTCAATATTTTTTCATATAAAATACTTAAATACTTCTTTTTTATAGTTTGGTTCTTTATTCTATGTTGTTTGCACATAGTTCGTGTTAGGATCATGGTTCATTTCATGTTTTATTACCATAAGTATTTAGTCACAGTAAAGTGATTGGCTCATTCATTGTATTGTGTGTTTTCCTTCACTTAATTGCACACATTGTATTGCGTCTTGCGCGTGTGCACTTAAAGAGACTTTGTGCCCCGCATAGTTGTAAGTGGTGCAAATGTACTGGGAATTAGTTCTCAAGTACTGTGCAATAGTTCTTTTTTTTGTGGC